AATTCCAGGAACAGATCGCAGGGTTCATTTTTATATACTCTGCAACTGCCATGAGGACAAGCCGTTTTTTGTTGTTGTTTGTTTTTCCTTTTGCTCTGTACAGCATTTTGGCAGCATTTTTAAATTTCTCTTTGTATTTTTTCTTTCTTTTACTAGTGAAGAGATGTAGCGTGAACAGTTATGCAGTCTAAATATCCCATATGGGTCGTGTGAAATGGTATTTTCAGTTTCATTCATTTGAAGTAAAGAACGTTGAATATTTCTAAGTGTGCTGTTTTGAACCAGTATGATCAGTGCTGTAATTTTTGACAGTCACTGTATCAATGTTATTTTTGCATCTCTTGAATAAAGGTTTTGACCTGCAAGTGCTAATTTCTTTAGTTATTGGGGTAAAATGGGTAATGTTAATAGGAAGGTGTTTGCCAATTCAGTAACCTAATTTAATGTTAATGGAAACTAACACTACCTCAAATTGTTTAGTTATAATTGTTGTTTAACTGAATCTTGATGTCAGAGGCCTTAAATAGAATGTTTTGATTTGTTCTTTCCCAACATTTTTCAAAAGAAACAGTCTAATTTCTTTGCTGTGATTGATTCCAGAGAACACGGAAGAACTGACATTATTTAACTGTTGATTTATGTAGATTCAGTAGAGGAGTAATGTCAGTTTAATTCTTTACCTACTGTCAATGCAGTGAAATTAGACATGTTGTTTTTAAAGGTTACTGGTGGATGCCAGCAACCATCTTGGAAGAGAACAATACAATCTGTTATAAGGCCTCCATTTGAAAATTGTGTATTTGATGCTAGAATATAATAGCAAAATGTAATTTGAAGATAACATGTAGCATTTAAGTGACCAAGTAGTATTGGGTAAAAGTTATTGAATGGTGTTGGGATAAAGTGAGAAAATTGTGAAGGATTAAAATATTTCAAGAGCTCAAATTACTTCATCAAAACATGTTTAAGTCACATTTTATCAACACAAATTGCACAGGTTTATTGAACATGAATAAATTGTGTTAATTTAACTCAATTGTTTAAGTTGCTGCCAAAGCAAAACATCTGTGTGCAACAAATGTCCACCATTGAATTAAGTAAATCCAACAACATATTTTTTTCAGTGCAGCATCATCATTCTGTTTTTAAATCATCCCCACTTCATATTTTTCACCTGATGGTAATCATCCCATCTTCTGTGGCTCTGCACACTTTGAAAACCCCAGAGGTACTGGGAATATTTTGTGGTCTTTACTAATAAAAAAAAAAAAAGTCAATTAATTGATTAATAGTGCAACTTAATAAATTAGAGAATTGTATGTGAATCCAAAATGGAGCCAGCTGCTAATGATTTTAGAAGACTGGTAGTATGAATCAAGAAAAAAAAGCCCAAGAACACAAAAACTCCATGCAAAGCCAAAGATGGCTCGAGCCTTTAGAAGGTTCTCAAAAATAAATGAGTGCAGACACTGCAAGCTAAAGCTAGCGTAACAACTATTCAGGCACTTGAAAGCTAATCAAGGCAAATATGAAGCACTATTTTGTTTAAAATGCTGATTCTTAATACAGTCATACCAAGTGTGACATCTGTTAAAATGGTCAGTGTCAGCTGATGTTTGGAAACTATTGGGCTAAAAATAAAGTGTACATCCTGAGAATCAATAACGCCCTGCACTGCAATCCATTATCTCTACAGGTGAATGTTCAGGTTTTTGTGCCATCAAGATAAAGGTTTCATGCTCTCTGTTCACTGTGGGGGAGGGGAGGGACAAAAATAGATATGAAAGTGCTGACAGCACTAGTTTAGGTTTTTCAGTTTATCGATGGGAGTCAATCAAACCCCTGAAAAAAAAGAAAGAAAAAAAAATCACTGCAAACCTAACCCCGCTCATTAACGCTCAGTCAGACTAAATGCTCGACTTCAGGTCTGACAGCTCGATAAAAGAAATGTGATCCTTCCACCAACCTAACTACTACCACGACATGCTTTCTGATCAAAAATGACATGGCGCTTTATTAGTTAAAGTCAGCTGCTCGTCACCTGACTTTGCCCTGTACTGTACAAGCGTTCTTACAGGATATCTGATAGCTGTTATCGTGATTCTACTTGGTAGGTTCAGCAGCTGTACACACAATCCTGCTTTGCTCCGAGTGGCTGCAGATGACTGCAAACACACAGATGACTCAAAAGCTGTGACTGAACCAACAGCGGACTAAACACACAATTTGAACCAATAAGCCTAGTAATAGTGCAGGTTACCTGTCACCATACCGAGTCAACTCAGTGTGTCTCACAGAACAAGACCTCTGACTGACCTCTGTTAGAGTCATTTGCCTTTTTCTTCTCTATAATACGCTTTGGTCTTGATTTTAAGATGTAAAATGCCCAGACATTTAACACAATGTTATTAAAATTGAACTAAATCATGAACTTTCTTCCCCAAAGTGCAGAAAGAGTTTTTTTAAAAGCCTTCTCACGGCATGCCTCTTTTGCCAGCCTTAACTTTTTGCTGACCAACTTGTTCTCTAAGCAAACTCCTATCGATACTGTCAGTCACCTTAAATCAGCCAAAGCACTACATGTGGTCTCAACTACCAGAGGTGAAAGTATGTGAAGCTGCAGGTCTAAACCTTCATGTCATTAAAGGGTTTCTACTAAAGCACTCCACATTATCAGAACTCCATCACCATCATCATCATCAATCAACTAGATAAAAATTCTGACGAATGCAAAACTCACTGGTAAAATGAACCTAAGAAGCACTACAGCCTCATCTGTGTCCTTTATGATTCTGCTCTAAGATCAGAAAAATAAACAGAATTAAACAAAACTGGCTAATGTACACTAGCAGCAATCAGCAGCAGGACTTAAAGTTAGGTGTCCGTCCGGTCTCGCTGCGCTGGACCTTTTTATTTATTTTTATTATAATGGAAATGGTGGTGTATTCAACACCACGTTTTCTCAATGTGTCCACAGCAGAGGATTTGCTGTTTCTGCTGCCTTTTAAAATGTTAGCATTCATGTTCATGTCACTTCTGACAAGATTACGATTTCTGACACACACGAATTTCAGTTTTGCGTGTGCTCTGAGTGTGCTCTGCGAGTGCCGACACAGGCGGGTGTAGTTGATAGCTGCCTGCTATGCTTCACCTTCACTGACCTGACGCCAACTGCCAGAAATTGCAATTCTACTAATGGCCACTTGAGGCCTGGTCCAAAAGTGAGCCAATCTGCCTAGACTCCCATATTAACACAACTTTACAGCATTAAATACATGGTTCAGTATCAAGTTATAAAAATTGTTACAAAATTGTTACAACCTACATGGAGACAATTACAACAGTTTTTTTCAGCAGGTCGCCAGTGAGCATCTGCTAGGATTCACCTCACCTAACCAGAGTCACTGACCTCTCAACCATAACTGTGCCGTTGTGCCCAGAGTATGTTTAATGAAATTATCTGACAAATAACATGGGATTCCATGTGGTACAAAGCTTCCAAGCAATCTGCTGTTCCACTTCAGTTGATTAAATAGTGGTTCTTCTAGAACTGATGATTTAAAAACTAATTAGCAGGTATCTGTGTATCTAGGCTGAGCCAGCAACTTAGTACTTGCTGTCTCATCTACATACGGTCACTTCTTGCTCAAAAGGAAACAAAAATGGACAACCAATCTACGAACCAGAAGATGACTTCAAAATGGCTTCAACCACCTTTCACATACTGCGTACAATCGACATTGATATCTTAATCATGTTTTTCAGAAAATAAAAAAAAAAAACATTCAAATGCATTCTGAATTCCCCAATCCCCAGGCTACAGTCAAATTCAAAGCTAAATTCTGTTCTGCATAAGACACACAAATAAAGCTCTCGTAGCCCAGACATGTGAAAGGACACATTCTTCTTCCAAGTTTACAAATGAGGACGGAGGGCCTGAAAATGCTCTGAGCAATGAAAGATTTAACACGGTTGATTTAGCATGACTTCCTGATAGGAATGTCCATTTCAGCTAGCCCATATTACCTCTTTTAAATCAATAGCAGCTCCACATTTAATGATGCCTTCATTTCCCTGCAGCTTGACACCTCAGCGGGCACTGCGGAGTAATTCAACTCATGTCCTAACAGCAGCGAAGTTTTAAATTTTCATCTGGGTGAATTTCTACAATCGGTGCAGAGTTTCTGAGGGTTATGTACAACTAAGTGACATTTGCCATCATTATAATGGCAGTGCTCTGTAGCCGTGAGGCGATAAAATAATCAGGTTGGTAGCACTGCAGTGGATCAAACGGCAGCTTTATGGGAGCTGAAACACACGGTGACCATTCATGTGGGAAACCCTTTTAGGTTCCCCCTGAAAGCGTAGCATTGGTAGCTGGTAATCAAGCAGAATGAAATGAATTGGCAGAGTAATAGAGACGAGGGTAGCCAGTGATTTGCTGCTGTTTAAAGACTGATAAGCTCTTGAAGCACAGCATGTAGCATCAAGGAATTTGATTTGTCTTTTTAATGAGTTGAATTTTTGAGAACTGGCCCCGTGGATAACCATTTGACCCACCCTGTCCTATAAAGCAGGAATTTTCTGCTGTAGTTACAAACCACAAGAAATCCTTCTAGGATAAAAATTAATGCTCAATCAATACGTTACATGAAAGATGATATCAGAGTTTGATCTTTTTGTGGGAACTGCTGATTAGAGGGGGAAAAAAAAAACATACTATAATATTTATCTTTTAAAAATAACAGTCTTTCTAAAGCTACATCTAAAGCATCAAAACTCATTAAATTAAATCAACAATCTTAGATTTCCTGTTTTATTGGTTCCTGCTTAAAACTAACAGTCCCATCAGATATATGAGCATGAAAATGCAGCTATACAGGTCGCTATGAGCTGAGATAAAAGGAAAAACAGCCTCTGTGACCTCAAAGCAGAGCTCACACAGGAAACATCCTCAGGCTCTTGATTTACTCCTGTACATGGATGAGAAGAGAAATTACCCTGTCCTTCATCCGCCAGCTCTGCGCCAGGGCCTTGGAGCCCTCAATCTTCTCTGAGTGCCTCTTCTTCATGAAGGCCAAGGGAAGTTTCCAGTCATTCATATCGGCCTCCTCTTCCTCAGCGAGGCCCACAGCCGGTGAATGAAGCAAGTCTGAGTCCATTTTCATCAGGGCCCTGCTGGGAGAGCGCTCATGTTAATGTCACTGGTTTGATTTTGAAGTGTCTTTGGCTGTAGCTACTGGGTATCCACAAAAAGATTGGCAGGCTCACTTTAGCCATTTAATTGCTGCATATAGTCGATATTGACATTAGTCTCAAAAATAAATAAATAAAAATCTTAAAACATAATTTGGAGACATTTCCAGTCCAGATGCAGCCAAATGTGCTACTGTGCAGCTATTTTATTAAGTAATGGATGATAAATAATAAAGAAAGAAAGTAAAAACAGAATATATACACAATAGATGTAAGCAATCCTAAATACATTTTTGATTACCAACTGAGATATTCATAGGAAAATTTAAACAGCAATAAAAGCGCACTGTCAGATAACTGCAGGAGGCCTGTTCAGAGAGCTCGAGACTTAGATCCAGATTTAGATGAATTTATTCATTCAAACGTCTTCAGTGTTTAAACAACATGTAAAAGAACTTTTGCTTCCTTTTTCAGTAATAAAACGTTTCATTACATTATCTTAGCACAAGTATAAAAAAATTAAGCATCATGACTTCGATCCACGTCTCTTTGTGCAGCTGTTGAAGTTCTACAGGATGAAGACGTGACCTGAGAGGCAGCCGCCCCTGTTTGTACATTATTGCATATGTTTGTCCCTCTTGGCCATGCTATCATCACAGATACAAGCCATTTCTTTTGGGCCAAAGTCTGCTTTGTCAATATGGATCACCAATCATCTGATAAAGTTCCGTCCTCTTAAATGCTTCCTATACAGGATTGGTGAGGGTTTATCCAAGCTGGCATTACAAAGCAGGGGTAACACAGTCAATTTATAATTACTAAAACACTTAACAAGCATTGTGGGAAGAAGCCAGAGTACCTGCTACTGTCCGATAAAGTAAGAACAGCTCCATCCCTCCTTGTACTGTTGTTATGGGCTATACCAAGCAGACTGTTTCTACACTCAGATAATAATCTGATTATCAACACTGGCAGCTGACTTTTCCACTTTATGCCCTTTAAGTCATGGGATGGTGGTTATGAGTCATTTTTATGCCGTGTGAATCTGCTGCTGTGAATCCTGTTTGAATGAAACCCACAACAGCAACTGAAACCAAACACACTCACATCTGGCTTCCTCTACTTTATTTGAACAGGCTAGCTGCCTGACTCTGTAGCAAAGCAACAGCTGTAGAGATGTTTCAGCTCTACAGCTGGAGCCACGGGACAGGAGGTCGATGGGTTTTTATCTTTACTGCCTCTGCATTCGTGCTAAAACGGCCCAGCTGTGTTAAACTTGGCTGCACGGATGCTGGCGAGCAGCAGGCTCAGTCCAGTCCAGCTAGCTAAGCTAAACTAGCGCGGCTAATGTAACAGCTCTGCTGTCAGGTGTCAGATTGCACCGAGGCCAGTAATATTCACTTAAAGCCTTTTTAAAGCGAGTCTCTGAACCACACACGCGTGACAGAGATAAGGAGACCGATCAAATGTGCAGAAAAGGCACCTAGAGTGTCAGCGAAGCGTGCAGGTGCAGACCTTGGTGCGGTGGGATTATCAGCCCGGGCTGTGGAAGCTCTCCTTCTCCGGACAATGACAGACACGGTCGCACACACAATCCTGGTCAGCAAATTGTAGGGCAGCGTCCAGAGCCTGTAGAGTAAGTCAAAGCCGTCAAATCCGAGCTGCACGGGCGCGTGTTTGCAGGGGAATCTGCGGCTCCTCTCCCCACGGCTCTTCGCTATGGGAAGGGGCTGCAGGCGAGGCCCATCTTCACACGGACAGTCTGCCACAGCCACACGTAACGGCGGCCGCACTTATCAATGACTGGGCTCGCGTGGACTCCTTCTACGTACCAGCGGCCCTGGTAGTCGGCTCCGAGCGACGGTCTTCGAGGAAATCTCAAATAATTCCGGGAATTTCTCCGAAGAGGCACTTCTTCAGCACTTCTGCAAGGGCGCAGCCATCTTGAGTTGAACCCAGAATGCACTGTTGGGGCGGCGAAGCTGTCGTGAAACGTCACAGCTGTTGTTCCTGGCGTCACTCACCAAAATATAAACACACGTACTCACGGCAGCCTCCAAAAAGCATTTACGATTTTGTAAATACTTTTTTAAAATGATAATGGCCATTTTTTGTGGGGGTTTTTTTCTTAAATCTTAAATTTTATTTCTTACATAGAATTTTTTATGACTTTTTCCTCCCGTATGTTGCTCTGTCACCAGATTACTTCAGCTTGACAATGTGGTTTGCTTTGCTGCTTCCTTTGGAGGAAGTTCCTCTGTTTAGGAAAAGGTGCTTTGGAATTAAGAAAACGAGGTTATTATGGTTTTGGTTTTCTTTCTTCTCCTGACATTTTTCCCTTGAATTTAATTGTAGTATTTTTTTTATAAGTATTGAACTTTATGTTCTGCGTCTTCAATTTACAGTAAAGGTCAAAGAAATAAAGAAAAACTTCAGCTTGACAAAGTGCTTTACAACGTCATTTGAGAAAACAAATCTCATTATTTAAGAAAAGGTGCTTTGTTATTTTTAAAATGAGAACGGAGGTCTGGAAACAAGGACTTTTCCCCCCCAACATATTTTTTCCAACTACCCGTTTAATGTAGTTTGTAGTAACAAATTTAGATTAAAATATGACTTCATAAAATCCCAAATAGGTTGTGATGTTATCTGCTTGGTTATTAGCTTACAGAAATAACATGTACCACATGCGTGGTTAAATACATCTCACCACAGCTACACCAATTATTTCCAGTAGGCTTAAATGTATTGAATTGCTGCCATGCGATTGGTCGATTAGATATTTTTGTTCATAAACAGTTGAAGGGGTGTACTTAACAAGCGCCGGTGAATCTGGTCCATATTTTTGTACCAAATGTCCTTATTTTTCCTTATTAAAGGGAAAAGGTTTAACAAACAAACAAAAAAAGAATACACTTACACAGGTTTGTGGCCTTATTTATTCAGCGATAGTGGGGAAAAGCACTGACATGGATCCTTCCTTCCTTTCATCCTAAACACCAAAGTATTTGTTTTAATTGTGAAACTATTTCAGGATATTTTGCTGTCACTTAAGGGGACATTTGCTAAATGTCATTATTTTTTTAATCAGTGCCAGCTAACATTAATTTAGTTGTTACACCACAAGCCATACAATACAATACAATCAATTGACTTGTTGTATGAGTAGGACGTCAATACTATTGAAATGGACTGACATTTATACAGAAGTTATCTTGCTTAATAGTCATCAGTGTGCTTTAAATTACCAGTGACATGCACACAAGTTAGAATAATCAACCAACCTAACAGGCATGTTTTTGGACTGTGAGAGGAAACCAGAGCACCTGGAGAAAACCCATTTAGTCACAGTTTGAAAACATCGAAAGTCTGTACAAATAAAATCCTCAGGAGGGCTCAGTTTCAGAGCCCTCTTACTGTGGGGAAATAGCACCAACCACTGAAATCTACAGGGTTCCAGTAACCATATTATCCATTTTTTAAACCACTCATCCAATTCTGAGTCATGGGTGGTGAAAGAATCACTTGTTAACCTTACATGTATGTCTGAGAGAATCCACACACAGTGGCGCAATGGTTATCCCACTGTCATCCCACACCAAGAAGGTTCCTGCTTTTAAACAGCTGGCCAGCTGAAAAGCTGGAGCCTTTCTGTGTGAAGTTTACATGCATAGATTTTATTAACATACTGTAAGGTTCTCTGTCCCGGTCGTTGTGTCCTTGGGCAAGACACTTTACCCTACCGCCTACTGGTGTTGGCCAGAGGGGCTGATGGCGTGATATGGTAGTCTCGCTTCTGTCAGTCTGCCCCAGGGCAGCTGTGGCTACGACCGTAGCTGCCTCCACCAGTGCATGAATGTGAGAGTGAATGAATAGTGGAATTGTAAAGCGCTTTGGGTGCCTTGAAAAGCGCTATATAAATGCAATCCATTATTATTATTATTATTATCCCAATCTCCCTTTCAAGTGTTACCAAACTGGATGGAAAGTATGAACTACTAACTGAAAGCAGTCTGACAATTTCTGAGAGACTAAAACTTGCTTCTATCTGACTGCTGTAAAAGTGACTGACAGCGAGCTGTTGGGATGCTCATCCTTTTGGCAGGCTGATTTCTTGGTCAACTTTCTACTTGCTTGTTTACTCAGCTTGTCCCAACAGCCAACTCTCGGAAAGGTCCAGATGGTTTCAAATGTCTTCCATTTCATAAATATTTAGACCATATTCTCCCCAGAACACTCAAACCTTTAGAAATGATTTTCTACCCTTGGTCTGATCTCTGCCTCACCACAGTGTAACCACACAGATCTGCAGAGAGTTCTTTGGATTTCATTGCACTGATATTACCCCGATAAGCAGTGTGGATTGCAGGCAGGACTTTTATGTGCACATGTGTATGCCTCACTATATTATCCCCAATCAACTCAGTGTTCCACAAAGGGAATCTGGTGCCGTTTGAGACACATTTCAAGAATAATTAAAGCAGAAAGAATAAACCAGACCGAAAATCTGGAGCAAAATCAAGAAGATGTTTGTAAATGAGAGATTTATTTAACCTGAAAATGTGCACATCACCCCTCAGTGAGATTAAGTGAATCTTAAGCTAGTTCATAAGGAGTGTTGTGTTATATGTAAGTCATAAATGTGCCCAAACCCAGCCATTTAGACTGGCTTTAGCTGTGCTTTTTAAACCAGTATAGCAAACTGGTGGTCATACATAAGCTACACATCCATAACATGGTGTCTAACCAGATGCTGGCCACACATTTTCGACCAGGATATGTCCTTCAATGCTTATATCTCTAAAATTAGAAACAGTCTCAGAGTGATGCTGAAAAATTAGTTCATGTATTTATTATTTCTAGGCTTGACTATTGCAATTCATAATTATTAGGTTTCTCCCATTGAATACTGCAGGTTGCCCATTTATTGCAGCATTTTATGATGACTGACGCTTTCTGGATGTTTGCATCAAACTTCTGATCACACAGTCTTCTAAACTGAAGGCAGTTTCAGAATCAGAATCAGAAAGGGTTTTATTGCCAAATGTTGAGCAGGTTTACAACATTAGGAAATTGCTGCGGTGCTTCAGTGCAAACATACTGTCATAAATTACGCTTAAATAGACATGAAAATAAAAATAAGAATAAGAATTAAAAGTGCTAAGTAGATAGATATATACATGAGTGCAGGTGGTGATCAGTGCAAACATGGAATGATGCAGTGAACACAGCGTAGGGTCATGTGTTAGTGGTGGGAACAGTCATATGGTTATTGTTCATGTGTCCAACAGCAGAGGGGAAGAAACTGTTCTTATGGCGAGAGGTTCTGGTGCGAATGGACCGGAGCCTCCTGCCTGAGGGGAGCAGGTCAAACAGACTGTGTCCAGGGTGAGAAGGGTCAGCTGAGATCCGAGCTGCACGCCCCAGTGTCCTGGAGGTGTACAGGTCCTGCAGAGATGGGAGTCTGCAGCCAATCACCTTCTCAGCAGAGCGCACAACACGCTGCAGTCTCTGTTTGTCATCTGCAAACTTGATTAGCTTGACAGACTGGTGGGTGGAGGTGCAGCAGTTGGTGTACAGGGAGAAGAGCAGAGGAGAAAGAACACAGCCCTGAGTGGAGCCGGTGCTGATGGTCCGGGAGTCCGAGACATTTTTTCCCAGCCTCACATGCTGCTTCCTGTCCGTCAGGAAGTCAGTGATCCACCGGCAGATGGGATCAGGCACATTCATCTGGGAAAGCTTGCCTCGGAGATGGTCTGGAAGGATGGTGTTGAAGGCAGAGCTGAAGTCCACAAACAGGATCCTGGCGTAGGTTCCTGGGGAGTCCAGATGCTGCAGGATGAAGTGTAGGGCCATGTTGATGGTGTCGTCTACAGACCTGTTGGCTCTGTATGCAAACTGCAGGGGGTCCAGGAGGGGGGCCGTGAGGGTCTTGAGATAGGAGGGAACCAGGCGCTCAAATGACTTCATGACCACAGATGTCAGAGCCACGGGTCTGTAGTCATTTAGTCCAGTGATCCTAGGTTTCTTGGGGACAGGGATTATGGTAGAGGACTTGAAGCAGGCAGGCACATGACATGCCTGCAGTGAGGAGTTGAAAATGCCAGAAAACACTGGGGCCAGCTCGTTTGCACAGTGTCTGAGGGTGGCAGGAGACACACCGTCTGGGCCGGGAGCTTTTGAGCATTCAGACTCTTAAACTGCTTCCTCACACCTGCTTCATGAATATGAAGAGTTGTGGTGGGAGGAGGTGGTGTGAAATCCTCCTTTGTGTGGGGTGAGGAGGGGGGTGTTGTAGGTGAAGTGTTTGAAGGTGGTGATGGCTCTATGGAGGGGGGAGAGGTGCTTGTTTAAGCATACAAATGCAACATCTCATGTAATGTAAATCAGCACTTGTTAAAATCTGTTACCTTTGTAAGTTCTGTTATTTTTCATTAAGTTGGTCTCAGAATCACAATTGAAAAAATTAAGTCAACTGTGAAAATTCACATAAATAATAACTCGGCTCAGGAGAATAATTCAAAGTTCCAGTTTTTACACAAATTGCTGAATTATTGATGTCACAGTCAAGATATGATGGATGAAAGGTAAATGTTTGGTTATTTGTAAGAAATTGTTGATCAATGCTGTAAAGTCATGTTTTTCAATCATTTTCCTTAATATTTAATTACTTGTATCAATAAGCTTCCCTGCAGTGTGCCTTTGAAATATTAGTTTAACTTAGAGATTAGTTCTGTGTGCACGTTCATGGTTATCCAGGTGATTTCGCGAACTCGGAAATAAGGCAGCTGGACCTTTTTAGGTTTTCATCAAAGACGCATCTTCTGTTCTATAACAACTGGTGGAAAGTCCCAGATAATAAACCCTTAGTGGGGGGCTATCTACTTTGGAGGTGATTCTAAGGGTCGTTACACTCCTATTCATCATGTGAGTTGTGATGTAAGCTGAGGTGTAAAAAAGGCGGTTATTGCCACCACTGGGCCCGACAGGTTAAACCACTGTGAGACATTG